TAGGCTATTTTCAGGAGTGGCCTTTTGGATCATGGGAACTGCATCTTCCCTTTTGGATTCATGATCAAAACTTCTTCTAAGCCTGGAGAGTTACCTCCAGGCTTTTTTCATGAGAAGATGTATTGGATTGAGTTGCTGTTAGAATGAATATATACTTGGAGATCCTACTTGCAATGGCCAGATGATAAATTAATAGATTTAGAAAAACTTTTATATCTGAAAAGATTTTTAGAGAACTCTCATCCTAAGCAAATTTATTTTGGTAGCTACGGGAAGATGAAATTGAAAGTCGGACAAAAAAGAGCATTATGGCCAGGCTTAGGGATTCCGTTAAGATTAAAGAACAGAAATCAAACTTAGAACAAAAGTTAAAAATCCACATCTACTGTACAGGTCCCTTTCACCCTCAACTGTGCTCCTCTTTACTCTCAACTCCCTGTCACTGACCTTCAGAAGATATTTTGGCTCTCCAGACCCTGACTTAAGTTTCTCTCCCTCAAATCCAGCCCAGCTTCCTAAACAAATTTCTTTAATCCCTGAAGCTCTTCTGACTTCTTAAAAAAAAAAAAAAATCACTAAACACCCAGCTTCCTTCTCTTTCCCTCCAAGAATAGCAGAAAGCACTCTGGCCTAATCTCCAGACCAGGGAATACAAGTTACTTATGTAAATACTGATAGTCAGAAAATAACTTTGTCAGAGGCCCCAGAGACACAAAGTAGGGCTCATTGCATTGTCCCGTATAATTCCATCTACTTTGTGGATTGACATAATCAGACCCCATCAGCTCCAAGTCTTCCCATGAAATTCCTTTTGTGATGTGTCCTTAACCCCTACAGCAAAGAATTCACATTCTCTGGACAGCAGCAGATCTTTTAAAATAAAAAGCCCTTTTATACCACACCCCATCCCAACACACACCTTTCAGAAGATTCTATCAAAGTTAGAGAGAAATTAGAAAAGTTAGTGACAATAAACAACTCCCCTTATAGGGACCTTGGTTGGCTCTTCCTACTCAAGATGATACAGTAGTTACCAGACAAGCCTGACAAACCTCTAGGGACAAATACCTTCCCGCCCCCAACCCCACCCCTGCAACAAACACAAGAAAAGAAAACAGGTAGCCAGAACTTCTCCCAGATCCTCCTGCAAATGACCAGGAAATGATTCAACTGGCAGCTGATATTTATAGCCTCATAAAAGTGAGAGTAGAGACCTTTCCCACCAAGGTGAATGTATAAGGTTGAAAAGTGCACTCAGAAAGAAAGAGATGCCAAGGTTTTTGTGGAATGCTGTATACAGACTTTCCAAAGGCATGCTGCATTTAACCTCCAAGCCCCAGAACATAAAAATCTTATTATTTCCACCTTAATTGGAAATCCTCTGTCTGGAATAAGGAAGCACATCCAAAACAGCTCTGGGCAGGACAGTCTCTTCAAAATTATTATTGAAGCTTCTACCCAATTATTTGAAAAAACTGTTACCTGCTTAGGACATGAGATATCTCAGGGCACTAAAAACAGCACAAAATGCCTATCAGTTTTGCCTGTCCCTCTCCTAGAAGCAAAAACACAATTGCATAAATTCCTAAGGGCAGCTAGCTGTCGTCACCAATAAATTCCTACTTTTGCTGCCCATGCTAAACCTCTATGTGCCCTCCTCTCGATGTTACTTCAGTTCATTTCCTGGCTCTTGGAGGCATTGAACTCCTGCAAAGTCTTAAAATGATGACTTCTCACATAGTCAGCTCTTTGCTTGCCCAATTTTGTCAAACTTTTTATCTATATTGACATAAAAAGAACAGGATTGTTTTGGGTATTTAAAACAACCTCTTGCCTCTTGGATATGAGGACTAAGCTCTGACTTTTTTATCTTACCCAAATTCCTACTTAAGGGGTCTAGGTAGTCATGCCCTACAAACCATAAATTCTCATCAGTTGGGTTTTACTGAACCCTCTATATTGTGGCTTACTTTTCAGTCTAACTCTGGCATAACATTATGAGACAAGGAAAAAAAAATTTAACCCCAAAATATATTTCCTTGCCATATCTTAAAATTGCCCTGCAAACTGTCTTGTGGGAAGATACCCACGTTCTATAGAGAATCCCCTTCCTTTTTTGTTTTCCTTCCTTCCTTCCAAGATCCAGGAGATAATCAACTAAGAGACAGGCACCTTTTTAAGTCCTGTAAAAAATAATTTACAACCTGCTCTCTCTAAAGTCTGCCATCTAAGAGCTTCCTCTGCACAATAAAACTTGGTCTCCATAACCCTTTATCTTTTTTTTTTTTTTTTTTTTTGAGACGGAGTTTCGCTCTAGTTACCCAGGCTGGAGTGCAATGGCGCGATCTCGGCTCACTCCGCCTCCTGGGTTCAGGCAATTCTCCTGCCTCAGCCTCCTGAGTAGCTGGGATTACAGGCACGTGCCACCATGCCCAGCTAATTTTTTGTATTTTTAGTAGAGACGGGGTTTCACCATGTTGACCAGGATGGTCTTGCTCTCTTGACCTCGTGATCCACCCGCCTCGACCTCCCAAAGTGCTGGGATTACAGGCTTGAGCCACCGCGCCCGGCCAACCCTTTATCTTTAACCTGAACATTCCTTTCTAGCAATCCCAAGTCTTCAGACCCCAACCAATTGTCAACCAAAAAACGTTTAAATGTACCTATAGCCTGGAAGCCCTCACTTTTGAGTTGTCCCGTCTTTCTAAACCAAACCAATGTATTTCTTAAACATGTTTGATTAATGTGTCATGCCTTCCTAAAATACATAAAACCAGGCTGAACCCAATCACCTTGAACACATGTTCTCAGGACCTCCTGAGGGCTGTGTCACAGGCCATGGTCACTCATATCTGGTTCAGAATAAATCTCTTCAAATATTTTACAAAGTTTGACTCTTTTTGTCAACAGATATGTCCTATACTATATTTCTTGTAAACCAAAAAGTATCAGAGACAGATCTCAATCAATTTAGAAGTTTATCTTGCCAAAGTTAAGGATATGCTCAGAAGAAATAAACATGGAATCACGGAAACTGTCTGTGGTCTGTGCCTTTTTCCAAAAATGAATTTGAGGGCTTCAGTATTTAAAGGGGAAAAAAGCAGGCTGGCAGGGAAAGAGGGAAGGTGTGATAATCCACATGTTGCAAGGGAAAAGAAGTAGATAGGGAAAAAGTCGATTATGTATTCATCCAGCACTCAGTAAATCCACATTTTACATAAGATTAGGTGAACACGGAGTAACTACCTGTGGAGATATTTATCGTTTTATCTCTAGCTATCTGCTTAGGAACAAATGAAAAGGCAATTTCTTGCCTGACTCACATTTCAGCTTAATTTTTTTTTTCCTTTGGACATGGTGAATTGGGGTCCTGAGTTTTTATTTTCCTTTCACATTCTCAAGTCAATTAGACCCCATGGCATCAGGCATGTCCCCATTCCTGTATGAAGTAGCCACAGCTGGTGCATTAATTGGCCAATTCAGTACTCTTACATTAGGTTCCCCCCTTACCTCCATGTTTCCTATTCCCACATTCTGTGTTCATTCTCTTATGACTTAATAAAACATAGCACCTCACAGTACCTCTCTACACAGCAGCAGACCACCTATATCACACAGGCCCTATTAACCAATCCCTCCATCATCTTACATCATTGTAACACCTTTTTTTTTTTTTTTTTTTAATGAGACAGTCTCACTCTGTCACCCAGGCTAGAGTGCAGTGGCGCTATCACAGCTCACTGCAGCCTTGACCTCCTTGGGCTCAATTAGTCCTCCCATCTCAGCCTACTGAGTAGCTAGGACTACATGCACATGCCACCACACCTGGCTAGTTTTCTTGGTTTTTGTAGAAACTGGGTTTCACCATGTTGCCCAGGCTGGTCTCAAACTTCTGAGCTCAACTGATCTCTCCACCTTGGCATCCCAAAGGGCTGAGATAAGAGATGTAAGCCACCATAACCACTCCATTGTATCGATTTAAATCCAGACACACTAAAGCCTCTCCCCGATGATGGAAAGTCTACATGATTACTTTGCAACTACAGCATGTCTCAAAGCCACAAGAGGATCTCTTAGGTACCCTCTTAGATACCCCACAGCCATTTTTTCATGACTCTTGTAAATAAAATTTCCAGGAAACATAATAGACGGTTATACCATAGTTTCCCCACGTGAAACACTTGAGCCATACTTTTTGCCCACTGTAAAATCGGTCCATGCTGCTATGCTCATAGCTCTTACTAGAGTTTGTACACTGGTAAAAAGGAAAACTGCCACTATTGCACGACTCCAGACATGCTTTTGGAGTCTGTCATAATCCATCAAATTAACGGATGGATTATGCAATGGGCCAAACAGACTTCCTTTAGTCCATTTTCTTTTGACGTTTGGTTTGTATTTATCTCCCATCAGATGAGGCATATGTGCCTTTAGGTATAGTTAAGTAAATAACCCTGACATTCTCAAAATTTCTGATCAAAGTATTTACCAAAGTATTTACCAAAGTACTACTTGTAAATGTAAGCATTTTTTTTTTTTGAGGTAGCTAACATAATTTTTGGAATTCTCCAAGGCCCACACTGCCTTTTATAACACTTAAAATGGATTTTAGAGATCTACTTCCAGCTTTAGGCTATTCCTCTGTTTGGCTATTTCCTGCATGCTTAGTGGATAGGCTGGATGCCTTCTAACTAGACATGCTAACACCAGGATGGTGGTAAAGAGATTAACAACTGGAGGTTATTCCTCATTTTGGCATTTCTTTATAGATTGAATCATACAAACGAATTCATTCTTTAGTAGAAATAAACCACTCACAAAATATCTGGAGTACTCACTAAAATGTCTTACTTCACATCATCCTCAATCATCAGGGCAAGTGGAACATAAAAATCTAGAAATAAAAAGAACTTATAGGGAAAAAAAATCCATCAAGCCATCTCTTTCAACTAGGAGATCAGGTATACATCAAGATTTTTAGAAAAATCGTGTACTCTTACCTTGCTAGGAATGACCTTCTGAAGTACTGCTAACCACCTACACTGCTATCACAGTTGCTGAATTCATGTGAGCTACATCAAGGTAGACTCAGTCATCACTCTCAGCACAACTGGAAGACCATCCCTACAGGTGACCTCACAGTAAGGATTTCGGAGTCAAGGCTCTAGAAGCAAGATGACACCACAAAGCAAACAGCTTTCCTCAAGATCACAGATCAAAAAACTTTGCTTTCATTTATTTTCCCCCTTTAAGTTTCTCTCCTCCCTGGTGTGTGGCAGGGAGGGGGGAATCGAAGGAGAATCTTTTAAACAAATCCTCCCATTTATTGAAAAGCTGACTGGAGATCACTTGTCTCAATCTATCCTATTCTCTCTCTGATCCTCCACTATGAGTTGTCTTTCAAGTGCTGCCTATTTCATATTAATGTCACTGTTTTCTTAACGGGTTACACACAAACCTGACACCACCCTTACACCAGTTTCTCAAACCTTGGTCATGTCAACTAACCAATGTATTTATTGCTTATGTCAGCATCTAGATAGCATGAACAAAACTGAATTAGTTTTTATTCTTGTCCATGGGGTACCAGGTGGACCAACTATGGAAGATAAATGAATGAAAGAGTATGGTATCCATGGCCAGAAAAACAATGTCACTCTATTTTTTTTTCTGGTGAGTTCAAAACTTTTCCAATTAAAAACAGACATGGTACTGAACTTTTCCTAAGTAACAAGCCAAGACAATATTGCAGTCAAACCCTGCAGTTTGACTCCATACACCACAGCCTCAAGCTCTTCATGGAATTCATAATGAGGAAGGAGAATAGGGTCGGAAGACAAGGAGCCTGAGGACAAAATGTGGCTGATTTCTTGCAACTGGACCAAAAGGAAAACCCCACCTCTCCATGCCCAAGTGAAAAAGGGGCCAGAGGCCCTGCCCTCTACAAAACCCCCCTTCCCTACCTCACAAATGAAATATGCCTCTGATTGTTTGTGAGCCAAGCCTTCACTTCAGCCTCTGATTGGTCACAGGCCAGCCTCTACTTCAGCTTCTGATTGGTCACAAGGCCGACCTTCCACTTCAGCCTCTGACTGGTCACAGACCAGCCTCCACTTCAGTCTCTGCTTGATCTCAGGTCCATCCTTCATTTGTATAGGGTGTAACCAATTGGAGGTCTCTAAAGGGTACCTAGGGGGTGTTACCAAATTATTTTAGTTTAATTTAAAACCTTGAAGATCATTGCAATCAGGCTCTTGAGCCATTTGCTCAAGCTTACTCCTACTCTGTGTAGGCTATGGTCACTTCAGTAAATCTGTGCTGTTGTTGCTTTGTTCTTTTGTTGCTTTGATTGTGCATTTTGCTCAATTCCTTGTTTAATACCCCAAGAACCTGGACAACTCACAGTCAAAATTTTCCATCCAGTAAAAATAAGTGATTTTAGAACTACTTTTATGGCACAAAATTTTGCCAAATCTCCAAATGTTTTGGCTAGTTCACAGGCCACTCTTGCACAACCTGGGTGGGGTAGCATTAGTTGCTCTCCTGATTAGGCTACTTAATGCCAGAAATTTTATATAAATAGATCAAAAATCTGGATTAACTTGGTCAGGTGACAAAATCAAGCCTTTTAGCTACCAAAGCCAGATTGCAGGTCTCTTATGTCAAATATTTCACAATTTTCTGTTTTTACAAACTGACAGAAGCACATGAAAATGAAGGTGTGGAGACGTGAAACACACTAGATGTGAAGAATTGCAGTTTCCACTTTTTGTTCATGAACAACACTGATCATTTTATCTTGTGTGGTTGACGCAAAATGCTGCCTCTGTGAATCAGTTGGGACAAATGTTGTCTGATTTATACCTTTGAATGAAAAAGATTAACATTCTAAGATAATGAGGCCCAACCATTTTATTAGACTGACCTATTCCCAGGGTTGAGAGATTGGTTTAATGGGATATGGAAAAAATGTGCTTAGATTTGCGCTTTTTTGCTTATTTATTCTCATTCTAATCTATATATTCTTCTTTTGAAGATCTATCACTCAGCTACTAAACTGATTCTTCTCTCCACAGCCACTAATTCAGATTTCATTATGAGAAACTTATGGTAAAGTTTCAGATGGGGGAAATGAAGTAATTCAGAACATGCTACCCTGAAATATGCTACTTTGGTGTGTTGATTATTTTTATTTTGCTTATTTATTTATTTAAGATGGAGTCTTGCTCTGTTTCCCAGGCTGGATTGCAGTGGTGCAATCTCAGCTCATCACAACCTCTGCCTTCCAGGTTCAAGCAGTTCTCCTGCCTCAGCCCACAAGTAGCCGGGATTACAGGCATACACCACTGTGCCCAGCTAATTTTTTTTTAGAAGAGACAGGGCTTTGCCATGTTGGCCAGGTTGGTCTTGAACGTCTGACATCAGGTGATCCACCCACCTTGGCCTCCCCAAATTATGGGATTACATGAATGAGCAACTGCACTTGACCTGGCATGTTGATTATTTTGGGCTGAAGGTAACTGAGCAACAGCAGAGGCAGGAAGGGCTCTCTTATTTCTGCCTCAGGAAGACATACAATTTTCCATGTGAAAGAGGCTCTCCCTGTTTTAGGAAGAGAACATTCTTATCACTGGAGACTGGGGGTCATACTGAAATGGATTGGTACAAACAAAACTACTAAAATAATCCTTATCTTCCATTAGATTTTCTCATGTATTTTCTAGTCACTTACCCACAAATTACTGCTCCTAGAAGCTTAAACCCTTTTTCCTTTGTCTTATCATTTCTCCACAATTTATCATTCTTTGTTTAAAATGTATATAAGCTCTTGGCCCTCATTGTTTCTTTGTGTCTTCATTTTTCTTACAAAGACTTCTATGTGCAGTAAAAATATTAAATAGATATATGCTTTTCTCCTCTTAATCTGTCTTTTATCAGTTCAATTCATGAGCCCCAGCCCCAGAACTTAAGAGAGTAAGTTTTTGTCCTTTACACCTGGCAAAAAGAAGGTACTCCATAAATGCAAGTTGTTACTGTTATTATTGGTAGTAATATTGTCCCTTGTGACCACCCACTCCTGTATGAATGGCAGTAAAGAGCATCAAAAAAGAGGGGCCAAGCTTAGGACCATTTAATAATTCACGAAACTGCTAACTTTAAAACTTTCCTAAGAAGAGACAAAAAGTAGTCAAAATATGTAAGCTATTAAGGAATTGTCCTGGTGGAAACTGAGTACTCAGCACATTAGTGGAGCCAGATCTGATGATAGTGCTGTGCCTCAGTGATGGTGAGTATCACTACACAATGTGCTTCTGAGACAAAACATACTCAAGGAAGTCATCATGGATCATGACTCTGCCAGCGTGTCAGACTGACTCAAGCCTTAGTGTACACTGCATTAATTTGACTACTTCTTTGCAACTTTGTGAGTGAGTCCACTAAAAACACACCCTATTCAAACTCAGACTTCAAGTTTCCTTCCCTCAACCCAGTTGAAATATTTTTCTGATTTATAAAGTGTGACTTATCTGGAAATTTTTCAGTCTTTTAAATTGGATTTGTGGAATAAGTATGTAATATTTAAGTAAGTGACATTTAAAACAAATAGTGGCAAAGCACACTGTTAATGTAGAATCCAGATATTTTTGCAGTGTTTGATAGTTATACATTAGTCTGAGAAACAGGCCAGTTGTACTTTCATTGCACAAAAGGAGAGGAAGAACAATTACCAAAAATCAAGGAAGCAATAGGTAACAAGATTATTTCTTAGTATCAAACTCAAACCAACTTACTTTAGCTATTAGCATGTTTGTTATATCTACAAGCTATAAGCAACATTAATAACCAATACTGCTTTTATTGCTGTTATTAAATAATACCTCTAGCACATAACACATATCATAAATGTATGGCACATGCAATTTCAGCCTTTTGTTGGCATTATAAAGATGTATTAATATTTGTAGTTCTCTCTTCCCCCTTATACCAGCCCATGATAACATAAGCACATTTACACTTATGAATGAGAAGACCAGGTAATTGTGTTTGCCTCCTCACAAAGAACACAGGAAAATAGGAGTGCTCTATGATTCTCACCTGAGACAAGAGAAACAGGAACTCAATGCTAAAGCAATAGGCGACTGATCATCTGGCTAGTTGATGACAAGTTGGGAGTGTCCCTGAGGCTCACCCACTCGGAAAAGGCACAGGAAAAGTAGGAACTCTGAGGGAAATCAGCTAGACACAATACCCAATAAACCCAGGTGTAGTGGTGGCTCAAATCCCAGCACTTTGGGAGGCTGAGCCAGGAAGATCACTTGAGGTCAGTAGTTCGAGACCAGCCTGGCCAACATGGTGAAACCCGCTCTCCATTACAAACGCAAAAATTATCCAGGCATGGTAGCATGTTTCTGTAATCACAGCTACTCAGAAAGCTGAGGCAGGAGAATTTCTTGAACCTGGGAGGTAGAGGTTGCAGTAAGCCAAGATTGCACCACTGCATTCCAGCCCAGGCAACAGAGCAAGACTCTATCTCAAAAAAACAAATGGAATATTTATTAGGATTGGAGGCTTTTCCACTTCAGAATTTTTGAAGAGTTTGGACCAAACATGAGGTTGGGAGATGGAGACAAGTTCTTTATAGAATCTACTCTTTTGCTTAAAAACAAAAGAACCAAAGAAATAGCAATATAACTTCAGAGGGTTAAACAGAAACTTCAAAAGGCACATGCTCAGTTGTAAAGATAATTACAGAGCAGTGATTCTCCCAAGGTTGCATGTAATTAGTACTTTACCTACTTAATGAATGTTTATGGTTGACAAAAAATATTGTTGTTATGCAGTTGTGTGTGGTTTATTTGCTCTTAACGTGCAACAGCTACAATTTCAAAAATCTATGCTGCAAGTAACATTTATTGATGGCCTAAACTGTTTTAACCAAATATGTGATATTTGTTATAATTTGAAATGTTAAAATAAAAACAGCAAGTCTTTCATTAAAATTTCATTGAAACAGGTTAACATTAAAGCAATTTCTACCAAATTTCTAAAATCAGCCAATCAACAACTGATTTTGAAGTCATCT